AGTTGATACGGCTGTCCTGAGATATGTTAAAACCTTAGCAATTCGTTTATCACTTGCTCACTCATTGATGGAATAATAGATGTGCCCTTTCATCGGTGCAGTTAAAAAGTTTCGAAATTATTCTTTGATGGTGGTAATAGGTTTTGGGTGAACAGGTGAACCAGTAACCTTGAACTCGGACATTTATATCCCCCTGAGTGGTTGATTTGCTTTCATATGATACAGGGGCGGTCGGGTAGCCTGGTGGTTAGAGCGTTGGCACGCCACGCCGAAGACCCGGGGTCGATTCCCGACATGGGTACAATGTGTGAAACCCATTCCTTGTCACCCCCGCCGTGATATTGCTGGAATATTGCTAAAAGCGGCGTAAAACCATACTCACCCACTCACTCATATGATACATGAAAAGGACATTGTGTTCTCGTTGTGGACATCGTCGCCTCCTATGCTGACAAACAGGGTTTTGCTTTGGCCAGGACAAAGAACATTGAAACCACAATATTGTTATTGTATTTGGGTTAATCCCTTCATTCATTCCTCATTGGAACTCAGGTTCACACAAAAGGTGGACAAAATATATAAAGGACGAGTGATGGGGAACAGCCATTTTATGTCTGTTTCAACATGGCGTCACAAACTGCAAGGGACGCAACTCCTGTAGTCTTCTATGTGAGTGATACCTTTATCATTGCAATAGTCGTTACGGCAAGATTGCTCTGTGCAAGTGGGCCAATACACCAATACACCCGTGGCCCTCATTATGATGCTTGGTTTTTCAGCACCATTATACATGTTTGTGGGTTTCCCAAAGTTATTTCGGAATTTCTTCCAACATTATTTAGCTAAATGTAGGACTTAGTTGCTTGGTATACAGTTATATCTCCTGTAGTTTAGCTTTTCTTGAAAGCCGCAATTAGAAATATTCCATATGTAATGTTCCAGTGCTGCTAGACTGGCGAGGGCACGGTCTAGAAACTTTCAGTAGCTTGTGAGGCTGTATATATTGTTGGACAAGAGCGTGTTTACGCATCTCTCTCACATTTCGTCTCTCACGCATTTCATCGCTTTGGAGCCAGCGTTCATGTGAGGATGGCTCATCATCCCTGATTCCCTGCTTCGCCCATCTCGGAAGCTTGACCACTGTCGCCGCTGGGTTAATATATATTATCACTACTGACTGTTGCTATCACTACTGTATTTTTGTATTTGATACTGACTACTGCTACCATTTTATATACTGCTATAGAATATTGTACTACCACTCTATTGTTTACTGCCATTGTAATTGCTGTGCAGTAAATTGCATTGTTTTGTAAACCTAGTTAATTTTTGTAATACATTTTTTTATTTATACCACTTGGATATTTCTTGGTTTCACACTAAGTTCTTTGACGAACAGATTTCAGGGTTAACATATAGTTTCAAGTTGGGAATCGACACGTTACAATATCAATATAAAGACAAAGGGTTTTTTAAAAAGTGAGAAAAAGATAAAATATGGTTTTCCGGAGAAAATCTCCGAGAGAGACTTTGTCTCGAAAACCGCATTCCCCATGTCAACACATGTTTGAGCACCTGGTGTTTGGAGGTGTGTGTTGGGGGGGGGGGGGGGGGGGGGCTTCTGACCGCCCCCGTGGTGTAGTAGACAGAGCATCTGCCCAGAGAGTGGAAAATCGGTGGTTCAATCCCACGGAACATGTTCCGAACAGTTGAGAAACGTTATTTGTTTGCAAAGACACACTTTCGTTGTGTGTTGTCATCTCACCATGAAACCAAGGTTAAAGTCTAGAATGTCAAATCGTCGCCAATTGTCCGATAATGTTCCGATACCGAACGGTTACAATTGTGATGGGATATCGACGACGACCATCAATATCATTGTATGTATTTACACGCACGGTACCGGTATCTGTGTAAAAGACTTTAATCCTGTTTTGACCAATCAGAATCAAGCATTCTTCACTGTCATGGTTGCCACCTTCATGTTAAATATATTGGCTGGAGAGTATATGCATCAGTGTTTTATGTGACATTACCTGATTCTACAATAGATTCTATAGATTCTATAGCCACTGCAGTAGATGGTGCCTTTATACAGCCCCGTGTTGTTGGGCATACCTTTCAGCGTGGGCACCTCAGAAGTGCTAGTGGTGTCAAACACACAAACCTGGCCACAGATGGAGAACTGTTTTGTTCAACGATGTATCGTACAATGAGCTGGTAGAGGAGGTGGTGTGTAGCGACGTCGCCGAATGCAAGCGGGAGGTGGTGGCGGTGGCGGTGGCAGCGTAATGATATGGGTGATGATTTCCCACACTGTTAAAACAAACCTGCTGCAAGTTCAAGGCTATTTTACGATACAGAGTTATTATGAGGACGTAGTACAGTCGCATCTTGTTCCCATAATAACGGATCCCCGAACGTCACCCTGTAACACAATAATGCCAGACCTCATACAACAGAACAGCAATCCTATGGAACCACAGTGTCCAGGTTGTCTATTTGCCCTCTTAAGCGCCAGACATGAACGGTTTTCTGAGATGGGACGAGTTCGATCGTCGCGTGCGGCAGCGTCACTCTGAACCACAAACACTGTAACCGATTACGCATGTAGAGCAGGTAGCGTGGGGAAACATTTCCTAACGTGTGATCCGTGTTTATATTTCGTCCAAGCGCATGTGCAAGGCAGTACTTGACGCCAATGTTGGACACACGAGAGTTCTCGTGAGTTGAAAATTGTTCGTCTTTTGTGTTATATATTCATATAGCACTTCACTCATAACTCATCACATGTTCAGATGAGCAGGCACTGTGTGTTACTCCTCACATCAATATACTGATTATGAGTTTCTCTTTGCAATAAACATGCATGAGCCTTTTTACCTTTTTAAGTTAATGCTCTACGGGCATACAACCTTCAAAACGAAATATAAATTATTCATAGAGTCAAGTATTGTGGCTTGAACCTGTACGTCCTACCCCCGTCTGACCCTCTCCACACATATATTTCGGTCTTGTACATAGTTCAAAGCGTCAATTTAATTCGAGCCTATGGCTCTATGGAACATCCATTATTGTGGGCGCTCCCTACCTTTACCCATGCATCATGTCTTTAGTAGACGTATTTTCCACTGACAATCCCTCGTGAATGACGTCCTTCTCGTGAATGATAATGACGTGTCACTTCTGCAGTGTTCAACAAAAAATCACAACATGCAAAGATGATTCACAGAGAGCAGCACATCCAAACAAAGGCGTGCTAGTACTGTCCTGTGCGTTAAAGACTGCAATAATTCTGAAGCATGGCACACACACAAACGCACACATGCACGCAAGCACGCAGTGTCATGCTATCACTCTGGGTCACTTTTATCCTAAGTGACAGACTGAACAATTGGACATTAATTTTGTCCACGTCATTAACTCTAGTCTCGATTTGACTACTTTAAATATTTTAATCTATTTCCATATGTGTGTGGTCTGTTGTACTATGTGTCCTGTTTACACATGTATGGTCAATCGTATTTGATTTCATGAATACACATGTATATATTTCCTAACTTTGCCCTTCTTTGGTGAGGCTGGTTTTCTCACACATCCGACGGGTGTCTGGCCGTAATTTGTATTCTACAACAAGGAATATTACCTTGTTTCAAACAAAGACAGGTAAATGCATATATGACAAATATTCACAAGTCCTCGGGGACACCTGAGTGTTTGTCCCACATTAGCCGCGGTAACAAGCGTATTTTGTTGGGAAGACACTGCCCGATTGTACAAACGGAACAACTCTCATTCATTACTACACACGCGATGTCACGGGGACAGGTAGACTTGCCAAGATGGATTCACCATTGAGGTTATAAACTACTTCATGATTGCTGTAAGAATTATGGTACATTGTTTTGCATGATATTATTGACACTGTCTATATTGATATAAACAATGTTTTTGTGTGTGAATGAAACAATTAATTACGTACTTTCTTAATTCATCGTGGCGTAACCTCTACTGTGGAATATACACATAGAACTGATAAGCACTTAAGTCTCATGAACCTATTTGTGACGGTCATATCTCTTGCTATTGAACATTGACCATGCATTGTCTATTTAAGCATTCAGCAAACGAACAGTTTTCTCACTGCACGCACAGGAAGCAAAACGATTTTGCGACAGCAGCATTTGTGAGTGAGTATGGTTTTACGCCCCTGTTAGCAATATTCCATCAATATCATGGCGGGCCACCAGAAATGGGCATCCCACATTTTACCCAAGTCGGGAATCGAACCTGGGTCTTCGGCGTGACGAGCGAACGCTTTAACCACTAGGCTATTCCAACGGTAATGGAAAAAGTGAAATATCTCTATCAAACGTTGTGTAGTATATGTGATATGTAATTGTCCAAGTTGACGTGGTTAAGGGTGAGGGAGGTAGCTCTATGATTCAGGTTCGTCGTCACGCCGAAGATATAGCGATTGGCTTCACACATTGTACCTGGCCCATAGAGCTACATACATACACAGCTATATTATACTATTTTTCTCTTTTTCCACTATAAACGGGTGGTGGGGCAGCCTAGTGGTTAAAACTTTCGCTCGACACGCCGAAGACCCGGGTTCGATTCCCGACAAGGGTACAATGTGTGAAGCCCCTTTCATGTGTCCCCCGCCTTGATATTGCTGGAATATCGCTAACAGCGGCGTAATACCATACTCACCTACACTCCGTTATAGACAAAACTGATTACTATAATATGTCAAGCGTATATTTAAATACATTGACATATCTGATTAACCCGATCACATGTTTTGGCGTATATAACCCGCGCATGGCTTGTGTCAAAGTGTGTATTGTGCAGTTGGGAAACATTTCTATCACTCGCCATTTCTTTATCAAGATTCTCCACATGTCACGCCTTTTTATTCGATATAACGCCGTAGCAAGGCTAGACGACCGCTTCGAAGCGAACACAATACCTGTGATGATAAGACCTATATATACTGCGCACCCCCTTTTATTGAATAGTATTTTAGGCATTGCCATACACGCAACCACCTGCGGCCAACTGTTACGATCTCCGATCATAGATCGTATCGCTGTAAACGCGAATATACCACAACAATGGCGGCTAGTCCCACACTACCTGTGTTAGTACGCTGTCACACACACAGTGTGTGATCCAGACGTCTGTGGTGCAGGGCAAATACTAGCGTTATTCACTCATTGCTACCTATTCGTGTGAGACCGGTGCTTGAAGCTAGGATACGTGTTGACTTCTTATGGAGATTTCCCTAACGAGCTGAGGTATGTGTCGTTGATATTTAGTTCAGTGGTTTGAGCTGTTTCCTATTGAATATTTGACATTTTAATCTGTGACAGCTTGGTGACAATGACCACCGTGCCTGGAAACTTGTTTAAACGATTTATGTGTATGTCCATTGTCGGGCTGACATGTTACCTACAAACAAGATGGTCATACTGACATATGGCCAGAGGAGTGAACACTACGAGTATATGGATTAACATATTTGAGTAGATTCGAATATACACTACATATTATATAATATACACGACATATCAGGTTTATATAATACGCAGTACGACTGACATTGAGATCGACCGAAATCAATATTCCATTACCAGTGGGACAAATATAGCATAGCACTATAGAATAAAGTTGTGATTCATGTGCAGGGAGTGTAATGTATGATGTCGGAGTGTCTACGCACTAATATTTCTACAACGCCCTTTGAAATTATTTAATGCCTGTCGTATGACGTGTTGAGATTCATGTAACATTAACACATATTTAGTTGTCATTTCTTGCAGAGATTTTAAAGACTGAAGTACAAAGTTTGTGAAAAAAAATGAAGATATTAAAAATGTAGGAAGGAATGCTTTGTCATTGCGAGGGAGGCTTATATTAAACTAGGTGAAGGTGTGTAATCTTACTGTATACAATGTGGATAGAGAGCATGAGGGTGTGGTCGGCAAGGAGGCTATGTATGTCGGCCTCTATTTATGCCTACATTTAGACATGGGGGAAGAATACCACATTACGACCAATATAAGTATGCCAAACGTGACACTATATGTACGTAGTTAAAGCTTTCATACAACATGTGTTCAGGGTATTTGATAAAGGTATCCAGCACAGCACGTCTTTAGAGAGGTGACTTATAGATCGGGGGGCGGGGACGGGGGGGGGGGGGGGGGGGGGGGGGAGGGGGGTGTCAGACTGGGAGACTTGGTTCATTGCATGTCATTGTGTCCTAATTGCTCATGATGGAAATCACTGGGTTGCCTGGACCAGATTATATTGATTGAGTATTGCTGAGTAAGGCATTAAATATCAAACAAAACGGAAAGGTTTAACACTGTATCGGCCTAGGCATGCCTTGTGAGCAACTCTGTAATTGTTGAGTATGCAAGTCATGAATAGGAAAAGAACAGAAATACGTTTGCAAATATGAATGGATCTATACGCGTATTTTGATTATATGACATCAGTCAGCGTGTTTATATTTAATGTATGTAATTATTGTTAAAATGGGACAATTATATGTATTGTTGATGATGCAGAACTGGACGTTTGAGTGCCAGTGTGTCATGCATTTCGTCTATCTAACCATCACTCATTCCTGCAACAGTGCCTAAACGTAATCTGGGGCTTGGTCATTTTGTGTAAAAATAAATTGGCTTAATGATGGCTGGGTTAAGAAGTGCATTTGCAACCCTAACTATGTTTGAAAAAGCTAATTTATTGATTTTCTAAGATAAAATGTTTACGATACCCTTGAGCAGTTGTGTATAATGAAAACAAAATGTTTTTTAAAAGTTTTAAATCAAATTGTATTTAAACAATAAAACCACGTAGAAGTAATCTTTCAGTGCTGACTAAGCACCTGAACTGTTCAATTGTTGGATGTAATATTGGTAACTTAAGATTTATATTTGAAAATCAAACATATGATAAAATTAACTGAGAGGTATAGATTACCTGCCCCTCGGTTAATAACTTTAGTGTGTACCTAGCTAAAGGAAACACCTTTTTCTGTCAGTAAACAAAATACGAAACATCCTTTGAATGTATTTATCTTATTTCTGTTTCAGTTTTAAATGTGGAATATTTTGGTCGTGTCCTGTAAACTCGACGTCGACGATGTCGCGAAGTATCTTAAAGAAGTCTTCTCCGATGCGCGTTCCACGAGACGACGTTCAGGAAAAGACAAAGGAGGAAGAAACGAAGACAGAGGAGAAACCATGTCAGTCTGCCAGGGAAGAAGGTAATTGTTGGACGAACACGCCGCGGTCCTAATGTACACATATTTGACATATGACTATCCAGTAATGTTGTTAATTTATAAACAACAGCTCCGCATATTACGAATTCCACTCAAAGGACCTCCAATTAGTTTGCATCTGAGTGAGTATAGTTTTACGCCGTTTCAGCAATATTCGAGTAATATCACCGTGGAAGAATACCAAGAACGAGTTTCAGACTTTGTACTCATTTTAGGGATCAAACTGGGTATTGGACTTGAAGAGCGGAGACTTTCACTACTGTGCTAAGCAACCGTTCTCTTTAATCTCCACTTCGTTAAATTAAATGAACAGGTATGCTAACCATGAACCCGGGGGTATTATTTTTGTTCAGTCGTCTATTCGCTATATTCCCTAGTGTTTAAATTAATGAACGTTCTGTACGACATTTTGACTGTGCCTGACATTTTGTATAAAATAATGTATTTAAAGATATCTATATCTACAAATAATTTTAAAGAATTTCAATCTTACAAAAACACACTTTCGCCTTAACGATACATTACGTTTTATAGTTTTGTAATATTCAGACATCTTCAAAAATATGCACATAATCTGCCTAAAACGTAATAACAGTCGTCGTGAAAAAGAGACAAGATTATAAATTCAGATTTCCTTTTGACGTGAAAATGTATCATTTATGTGTGTCTATGACGTCATGATGTCAAACCTATGACCTCGTCTGACCCCGGTTTTAAGTGTGTAAACACACCGCCCTTCGTGTTAATCTTCGGCGAGATTTATTGCTGCAGGTTTATCTATCCGAGTCAGGCTATCGATCTGCGGCTCATTGCTATCAATGGCTGGTTTAAGGATATGCGTTTGTACGAGAAGGGCCAGCACAGCATTCAACCTTGCCTCACCCCACATAACACTTGGGTTATATGGCTTCTGCTTGCATACTTACTGGTGGCTAAAAGAATCAAATGGTAATTCTAACATAATATATAAGGGATTGACAGTAAATTTAAATCGATCTGTATTATATTTACAAACATTTTAAAAAACTTTTTGTAACCGGTGCCGTTTGAATAGTTTAAACTGTCATGCGCTATCTAATCTTTAAACATTTGGATCCAAACCACAGATGTAAATAACAACAAGGTAATTGCATGATAAATGAATGTACTGTATGCAAAATCAGTCGACAGGGCTTTAGAATTGTTAAAACAAAATCTAATAAACCTTTGATATTTGCATTTAATTTGAAATGTAATTAAACCGGCATTCAACTATATTTTAGTTCTGTTGAAACATATTTGAGTTTGTGAACATCCTGAACCATCCTGAATGGACTTATCACATCCGGTATGACGAACCAAGGCTTACTCCACAAGGTAACCATGCCTCCTAAAACATATTTGAAGGAATAACATAAGCTAAATATGGTTATTTGGAAACAATATGAAATGAAACAAAAACGTTACAGAATTCAACATAAAATGTTGAATAAATACATACAGTGATAAAAAATGCGACTTGGGAATGATGCATATAGGCTTCAAAATTAGCAATGCTTCGAGACAGCCGGAGATTCGACTGTGTAGAGAAGTACATCAAACGCCTAATAGCACTGAACAGGACATGCACGATCGATTAAATACACCAAATTTTTTATCATTCAGCATATGAGGAACGTGAAGTAAATATTAATTGTTTCCTTGCCGACCTTTCGCTAGACCCTACATTGTTGTATCCCAAGTAGAATAACATGTAGTTTTTTAAATCATTTGTTAAACTAAAAATATATGTTTGTTTGTTTGTTTGTTGTTTAACGCCGCTCTCAGAAAAACAATGTCTATGAATGCTCCTTTCCAATACAGATTGATTTGAACATTTGAACAATTTCATAAATGTGTCGGACACATTTGATCGGCATTATATCCTACACTGGAATTTATATAATTATATATATGGGGGCACGGGTGGCCCAGTCGCTGTGCAGAGTTGCGTCCCTTGGGCACGCCAGAAACCTGGGTTCGAATCCCGATTGGCCCTGATTATGTTTCTAGGTTTGCCAGCACCATACCCGTGCTCGTGGGTTTCACCGAAGTGGTAAATGTCTGGGACCTGCATCACTTCGGGCTTTCCTCCCACATTAAGCTGACACGGCCTGGAATGATGTTAAAAGCGGCGTTAAACCCTACACGCTCACTCATTCTGTATATATCTAGAGCTAGGTAGACTTGCCAATCTATCATCCAGTCAGGTCCTGCTTGCAGATATTCAGCATTCCCGGTGCTGGACTACCCACGGTTGGTCATAGTCAACTTTAACACACCCACGCATACAGACAGGCGCACGTAACACAACGTATGCATGAATATCAGCTTATCAGCGAGTTGACTTCAATGTGACACTAGGTCACAATGCGGTAAACTCGAGGAGGACGTGATATGGAACGAGGTTTATGGTTGTTGTGTATACCTAGCTACACGCCCGAGACATTTCAGTTTGATTACAAGCCTGATAATAAACCAGCATAGCTGGGTCACAGTGAGCTAGGTACAGTGTACGACTGAGACCAGGTATTTGTGTAAATAAGTGCGTTTTTTACCGTATAGACTCTCGACGTATAGTCACAGTGTTGGCAATGCTGTGGAGGCGTGCACGATCAGTACAGAACACCTCGGGGAGTGCCACATGATTATACAGTGAATTTCGATTAACCATTGTAGCAGTGAGAGACATCAGTGTTGTGTTGTATTCCCTGTGGTATTGACGTTTAAATATAGGTTTTAATTCTCCCGTCGCGCATGATAGGCTACTTTGAGTGTACTGCGTTTAACCCACAATGGTCGATCAACATGGACCGGATACTGTGTTGATGTACTTGCACTAAAGGGTTTTGTCACTTTTATTTGCGGAATAGGATTACTGTACACTGTTCTGTACACTGTACCTGTACACTATCTCTTCCACTGATTTACCCACCTGACCTAGAATAAAGGAAACCTGTGATACCATCTATGCATAAAGATTGAGAGACCAAAAACTCTCCATAAGACTGTATGACAAGGGGATGACTTCAACTCTTCAATATTCAACTTTCCCTTTATGTCGAGTAATATTCAAGCAGCTCCAGCCTTTGGTGTCTACATTTCACAACGTATGAGGAAGCTCTTTCTACAAAGAGCGTCATACGACACTTGCTGAAAAGAAGTTTAATCAATGTTACAACATTCAAAGCCTTAGTATTGCTTTCAAAAAGTGACAAAGATGGATCAGTGATGAAAAATATGTCCCATGCAATTCTCCATTTTGGCAGTGATTTTACAGGTGAGTAGTTGACTCGCCGTTGCGTGTGTTTGTAACAGGATACGCTCACCTATTCGCACACACCTGGTCTCATCACTATTTGATAGTGATTCATTAACATGCTCATGATATAGTCGGCTCTGAGTTCAGCAGTGGGTTTTTAATATGGAAAGGTTTTGTCGCTTCACACACCGTATTAATCCGAAAACCCTATTTTTTCGACCAATTGTTGTAAATTCAGCCAATGGTTGTTATCGCTACACATATACAAGTGACATTACCCTATGTGTGTGATTCTTTAATCCAGACATTTGTTTTTCCTGATGATTAAAGGGAACACTGAAGTCCAGAGAAACGGAGTTTCACTGTTCTCTTCGAAAATTGGATATGAGCCGTGAATCTTTCCACTTTAATACGCATGCGAACATGCAAGAAAGCAGGTTGCATTTTATGGGGTTGAACAATCATTAAAGCTACATATTCAACATTTTAAAAGTCAAAATTGTATATAAGCCCGTTTGTCTGTTAGTATTGTGCCTTGTTCCCACAATAAAGGCCCTTTTTGTTGCAGCTATCTTCGGTATACCTAGAAGAGTGAGTGAGTGAGTTTGGTTACGCCGCTTTTAGCAATATTCCAGCCATATCACGGCGGGGGACACCAGAAATGGATTTCACACATTGTACCCATGTCGCGATTCGAACCCGGGTCTTCGGCGTGACGAGCGAACGCTTTAACCACTAGGCTACCCGACCGCCCCTATGCCTAGAAGAGGAATGATTAACTATGATGTTGAAACCCGGGTTCACTGTCCGTCTATTAATTAGTGAAATATAGATTTGTCCAAAAAAAGAGAATAATAATTGGGAAAGGAAACTTGAAAAAATATACACCTGAAGAAAAACTTCTTACAACCCTTCTTTATTTTCATATATTCTTTCGTGTATCTTTGAAAAATGTCCACAGACGTCATTTATCTCATTTTGATATATGTTTCATATACCACCTTATCTGCTGACAATGTTGGTGACCCGTGAAGGTGCGGGGTGGAATAGGTCTTCAGCAACCCATGCTTGCCGTAAAAGGCGAGAATGCTTGTCGTAAAAGGCGACTAACGGGATCGGGTGGTCAGGCTCGCTGACTTGGTTGATGCATGTCATCGATCCCAATTGCGTGGATCGATTCTCATGATGTCAATCACTGGATTGTGTGGTCCAGACTCGATTATTTACAGACCGCCGTCACATAGCTGGAATATTGCTGCGGCGTTAAACAACAAACAAACAAACAATGTTGGCACAAAAACAATTTCTATTCCTCCAGGAGGTGGCCACATCATATGACGCACAAAAGCAGATGAATCAACTGAACGTGTAGTCGAATAATTATTGCACCGGTACAGTAACAATCGTTAGTGTGTCTGGAAAAGAACATGTAACATCAAAATATTAAGACATGATACCATTTTGTTAATGTGGGCTATTTTATATGAAAATGTAAAGAAAACTTTTCTCCGGGTGTATACTGCCGATAACATTTACGTAGGTGCTCGTTCAATCAGCACATAAACCTGTAAAAAACATTAGTAATCTCTAAATTACTATGTATTTCCACAGAAACTGCATTTGTTTAATTCGTTTCCTGTATTAATTGACGGAATAACACATCTGTTTTTTTGCTTACAATGTGCCATATTCATATTGAAAGACGGAAACCAAAATCGATTATCCCCTGCCATGGTTTAAACAGTGTTCTATGGCAAAATGTATTTAACTTTATCAGAAGCGTCCTTGGTTTGTTTGCACCATATCATATAACTAAGTATCTGGCAACATGTTCAAGCACATAGTGTTCTTTCAGATCCGGTGGTATGAAAGTCATCTATCACTGAGATCAGTTCGGGATATGTGAAAATTAGGAAGAGGTTCTGGAACATTGTTTCCGGGTATACATGTTCCTGGTTACCTGAGGAAGAAAAGAATGTCTAACTAAACGCATGCTTTAATCACAGAATACATAACAACGAATATTTTTTATGGTAAAAAGAAAGTTTTCACCTGAAAAATGGATTTGACAAAATGAAATACAAACTTTATCAATACGTTACTAGGCTGAATACAGTCGCCGAAACAGTGTAAACTTAAGTTCCAAAAGGCAACTATGACACCCGTATCAAATACCTCACCATCGATCGAATAACCATTTCTTGTTTGTTTTAATTTTAGCCACCATCAAACATGGGTGTATTCTTTCTTTTGCCCGGCAGTTAAGTATATGGCAGGTGGAACTGAATACAAAATACTAATGCTGTTCTCGAGTGGCGATTGGGTATCCTTGTGGATACGACATTGGCTCGTCGTGCCGAAGGTCTGGTTCAATTCCCAACAATGTATGACATACATTTCTGGTTTTCCTGCCAAAAACATCTGGACTATTGCTAAAAGCGTCGAATACACACACTCACATACTGCTCTCTCGAACAAAGACTTGGTTTCTCGTAACTTCAGTCAAGTCTAGTTTTCATGTAGGTTTGTATTATTATTATTATTATTATTATTATTATTATTATTGTTGTCTACAGATTGAAATTAAAAAATGCAGTAAAGAGGGTTTGTGTGATCCATTCACACTCTTGTTAGGTTAGGCTGGTTAGGCTCATCATCAGCTCAGGGCCCTTGCCCCTCTACACGCAGCCCAGACAGCGAATGGGTCTCCCAGGAAGCGCTGCCTAGATAAACCCACCCAGAACTTGTCGGAGAATGTGAAAACTCCCCGACACTGCAGCCTTCTGCATTACCCAGATTGTCAGAAGGGATGTAATCCTGGTAGCAAACCCGGGTACTCTCCCAATTTCAGTCATCAGATTGGGAGGTACCAAACCTAAGGCACCGAGAACAATTGGGAGTCGCACACTTTGGTACTTGGGATGCAAGCGTGACATTTCGAAAGCGAGGTCCGCACATTTGCCATGTTTTCCTCAATCTAGTCAATCACATTGGTGTCAAAGGGGACAGAAAATTCAATGATATAAATGATTTCAAAGGATTTATCAAAAAGGAGAAGATCAGGTTTGTAGGCCTGGATACGTCCTAGGCTGTAAAGGGGCCTATTCAAAAGAATTTGTATACATATTCCGGGACTTACCATGGGTGGACCTCTGTGTCAAAACCACAAGCATGGCGAAGCTGGTAATACAATGATCGAGCTACACCATCATGTGGTTTAAGATACTGTGTTTGTGCCAAAGCTGGGCATCCACTGACAATGTGTTGGACAGTCTCATTGAATTCATTACATAATCTACATTTGATATTTACATTTTGATGCAAAATCACACATTGACGATTTCGAGTGGGAAGTGACTGGTCCTGAGCAGCAAACAGAAAGCCTTCTGTTTCACTTTTCAGGCCAGACGACTTCATCCAAGCGAGTGACAATGTTGGGCTGTTGCTATCCTCAACACATGCACGTAAACTCGAATCAGTGGTCGTTCGGATAGCCTCTCATTAAGTCTGGACCGATTTGATATGGCATTTCGCTAGGTTGACACTCATTTCTGTACCGTCCTGCAGTACAGAACCATCAACAAAATCAACATTGACATTGAGATTATGTCCCACATCCTTGGCTGATGTGAGAAAACTGTGGATTGCCTTGTTTTCATCATGAGTCTTGACATAAGTAGTAGTAGTAATAGTAGTAGTAATAGTAGTAGTATATAGTAGTAGGGAGTGTTTGTGTTATATATGTATATTAGTTTAATAAAGGTGTGACATTAAAGGTGTTCAATGTTTTACCAAAATAAACTACCATGTGATACTTCTTCCTGTCTTTCAGCTGAGGCAGCAGCATCAATACCAGATCCTGGTTTCAGCAGCGAGAGCAGGAAAGATGAACCCAAAAAGCCATTCAAGAACAAGAATCTGAAGGCAAAAGACTCCATGAGGCTGTCAAGTAACAGACTGGGTTCATCACCGAGATCCAGATTCTTGCAAAAGCGAAAGGAATCTAGTAGTTCACCCCGCTTGCTGAAAATAAAAGAAGGCGAAAACACTTTCACTTTTCCGGAATCAGCGAGTGTAAATCCTACAAAAGTATCGGGTGATGCTCCAGGGAAGGATACTGGAGATGGAACGCCTGGTAAGGTTTTTTTACAGAGAACGCTGAAGGAGAGTACCCTAGAGAGAACGCCCGGGGTGGATGCTGTACACAGAAAGGATACTGTAGACAGAAAGTCCAGGGAGGATACTGTAGACAGCACATCCAGGGAGGATACTGTAGGCAGCACGTCCAGAGAGGATACTATAGACAGCACGTCCAGAGAGGATACTGTAGACAGAAAGTCCAGGGAGGATACTGTAGACAGAACGTCCAGAGAGAATACTGTAGACAGCACGTCCAGAGAGAATACTGTAGACAGCACGTCCAGAGAGGATACTGTAGACAGCACGTCCAGGGAGGATACTGTAGACAGAACGTTCAGAGAGAATACTGTAGACAGCACGTCCAGAGAGGATACTGTAGACAGAAAGTCCAGGGAGGATACTGTAGACAGAAAGTCCAGGGAGGATACTGTAGACAGCACGTCCAGGGAGGATACTGTAGACAGCACGTTCAGGGAGGATGCTGTAGACAGAACGTCCATGGAGGATACTGTAGACAGAACGTTCAGAGAGAATACTGTAGACAGCACGTCCAGGGAGGATACTGTAGACAGCACGTTCAGGGAGGATACTGTAGACAGCACGTCCAGAGAGAATACTGTAGATAGCACGCCAAGAGAGGATATTGTCGACCACACATCCAGGGAGGATATTGTAGACAGAACGCCCATGGAGGATATTGTACATAGCACGTCTCGTACGGATATTGAAGACAAAACTTCCAGGGAGAATACTGCACACAGACCTAGTAGATCTGATCAGTCTGGTCATATCCATCTTCCCGTAGATTTGGAGGAGAATAGAAAAGCAAACCCTCACTTGCATACGAGGATCGATTCAGCAGTCACAAAGTCTCCCAACATCGCATCTGATGTCATACCAGACAAATCCCAGACAAAGCAGAAGGTGGATGCTGCTCTTGGTGGAGGAGGTACAGACAACGAGGTGTTCATGAGAAAGAGTCAAGATGTTGTGGCTGAAGATCAAGACAGATCAACACGTGGAGACCTGGCTGGTGCTTCTCGTGATGTGTGTGAAGTGGATATCCCTGACAGTATAGTTTGCGAATCAGACAACTCTAGTCATGTCGAATCTGGGAAATATGTTAAAGGGACCAAGGGGGTGCACGCTGTGTCAACGACATGTCCTAGTCCTAAAGATAAGATAGAAGTGGAAGTCTTGCCAACATATGATCCTAGTCCAGCTTATGCTTTAGATGTACAAGATAGACCAGCAGTAGATCCAAGTCCTACAGATAATGAAAATGTGCCTGATTTGGTAATAGCTGGCCCTACAACTGACAATATTGTAGGAGATTTGCCAAAAGTAGACATTCATCCTCAGGCTACTTTAAACGAGCAACATATAGATAATGTTGAAGGTTTGTTAGCGGGTGTTTCAGTTCCAAAAGAGACTGTCGAAGTGCCAGATGATCCATCGACAGTCCCCATTCCCTCAAATATTGAAGAGGTTCAAGTGCTTCCAACGACAATTCCCATTTCCCCAGATACTGAAGAAGTGCAGGTGTTTTCAACCCTAGATCCGATTCCGAAAGATGCTGTAGAAGAGGAGGATCAGTCACCATCAGTCCCTACGTCTGAAAACTCATCTCGCGATGTTAATCATTTACATAAAGGAACGGACAGATGTTGTTACAAACATGATGGTATTTCAGACACATCGTTTCATATGGTTATGGACAAAGGTGTATCTGAAGAGTCAGAAGTGGAACGATCCCAGCACGGTGAATGTAATATGGAGCACGGTAAAGCTGCCCAAAAAAACGGTAGGTAACGATCCTTAATACTACGACAACAATCCGTAACCCTCATCCCGTTACAACCGGATCATTCTCACCTTAATTTTGTTCTGTGCTTTGTTTTCAGACGTGTGGTCCTTCTCCGACGATGAGAGCCTTGTTTGAAAGTCATGGATCCAGGAAATCAACTTTCCGCTAAATTTACATTCCGATATTTCCTCTTTCCAGAATTCTTTGTTATTCTTCACTTTATCCATGTTTGTCTAAATGAGGATTTGCTGCTATATATTTGATAAACAGCTTTGACAGCGACAATTGGCCTTATGGCCTACGGAATACATGTATCTCGTCTATCAAATTTTGGAATTGTGTGTTTATGAATAATACGTGTATTTCCACCATGCTGGAAATATACCGTCCAAGAACGCTATCATTTGCCGTGTTTAACCGAACTAAGGATATACAATGAGATGATAGTTTTGAATTTTAAGGTAGCCTCAACGCGGGTAGATACCTCATAATTTAATTTGGAACCGGGCGCTTTAGCGCAAGGTTTTAAATGTAGATATTACATACCTCAAACCTGATTTTAATGGTATTTTGACCAATCAGAATCAAGCATTCTTCAGTGACATGGTAGATTTTACAGTATGGGTAACATTTGTACGTCTGTACTACTCAAACCGAATTACCGACCATCCGATTCTTTCATATTACTATGACAGGCCATGACAGATTACCTATCGTAAAATGAAAGAATCCCGTGGTCCTTAACCTTTTATGGGTAGTATAGATTTATCATCTCCCAGAATGTAGAACAGATGATAGTATTTTAGAACAGCTGTCTGATCTTTAACAGGAACCCCTGTGGGTTTTTTTTGTAAAAAGATAGATGTTTTGTGTTTTAGTAAAAGACACCATTGCAATGCATACTTTCCTGGCATCAGAGAGTGTAAATGTGAACACCCATTGATCTTTTGTCGTGCTTAGTATCATTCACCTTCTTCCTGCTTTTGAGTGGTCCCGTTATGTTAGTGATTAGTATCAGTATCATACTGTCCCGACGTTGTTGTGAATTTAATCAAGAAAACTAATATATAATAAACCTTTGTGAAATGTGAATACGTTTCATAGATCACGCCGATATAAGTCTTTGACCTCTCAGCATGCACCCACGGGTCTTTTGGGCTCTTCATCAGCATCATTCGACACGCAGTAATAAGCGGCATTCAACACGACCCATCCACTCTCTCCCAACAGGCACCCCAACTGTCTGTCCATTGTGTAGACTGACTTCCCAGTGAGGACACCCGGCAGGGTTAGAACCAGGAACCAGCTTAGTTCAAACTGGGGTGGATGGCGAGTTTGAACGAACTGGGTTATGCCAGGAACAGCATCCTTCGGCTGTGACGTGCCTGATCGGGTTTAACCTACCCAAAACGTCGTGGATCGTTGCGCAAACTATCGTTCACTATCGTGTCCAGAGCCATATGCCATAAGGCGGTCGTAGCGCTAGGACTGTCGTAAGTCTATGTTAAAATATGGGAGTTACGATCTCCTTAGCGAAAAGATCGCTTTATGGGACGGGGTCCAGGTTCCGTCAACTAGGTTTAGTATTTCTGTCTGGCCCAAACCGCTTCACTCACCCACACTTACTCATGACCACACTACGAGACCCGTGAAGATTCCGGGGTAGAATAGGTCTTCAGCAACCCATACTTGCCATAAAAGGCGACTATGCTTGTCGTAAAAGGCGGTTAACGGGATCGGGTGGTCGGGCTCGCTGACTTGGTTGATACATGTCATCGATCCCAACAGAGTAGATCGATGGTCATGATGTCAATCACTAGATTGTCTGGTCCAGACTCGATTATTTACAGACCGCCGTCATATAGCTGGAATATTGCTGAGTGCGGCGTTAAACAACAAACCAACCCAACCCAAACTACGACAATTCAGTCAAGCTACTTTAAAACAAATAGAAACACAGGGAATAAGTTTGACTAAACTTTATTTGCAGAGATGTGGCTTTCTGAACATAGTTCCAAGCAAGCTCAAAATACATCATCAAACAGCGAGTGTAGACACGACAGCACAATGCTAACTCGCCCTCAAGGGGAGATAACCGTGCTTCTTAGGGTGCATCCTCATGACATGATACAAATACATTCCAAGACAGCGTAACCAAGACTTACTTAGGCTTTACAAGAAACAAAAATAGTTACTTTTCACTCACAGTCGGGAAGTTTTCATATCTACATACTGTCACACGCATGTGCCATAGCAAGCGTCAACGTACCGCACTTGATCGATTCAGTTATATAAAACAAATCGCGAAAAACCTTATTACTTAATATAAGTATTATTCATGTATACTGTTGACAAAAAATAATGGAACGGATGTAAAGAAGAACATGGTTTTACATATTCGCACGTCCCAAACATTGTCCAACAACACACCAGGGAAAACAAATCTAATCTGGTTCATTTGTATTATTGATATTGTATACAACAGTGGAGGTTCTCTTTCCATGCTGTTAAGCGTTCCTTTATTTTAATCCATCAGTATATACGCTTACTCCTTAAGATTACAATCGAAGAGCTAATGACCCCTTACTGCGCTCTACACTCACTAGATATGACGTAATCCAATTAATGAATACATCGTACATCAAGTGCACAGTTACATTAGAAGGAGCGCGGCAGTAGTAATATTATAGTGTAAAAGAATGGCCTCTACTACTGTGGAATGCTTCAGGCCGCTCCTGGATTTCCCACCCAGAACTCAGACAGACTTACTCAGGAATTGGTTCTTGCTCTTCAACAATATCGTTTCAGTCACTAACTAAAGGAACGTCTAACACTATATTGGTTACCGTACTCGCACATGTGTTGCAGTAACACACTATTAACATTGTGTCTTGATAAATATAGCAAACACTCACACCACTGTGTGTGACATCCTCAACAAAAAGCACCATTATATCGTCACCAAGTCTAACACCGCGGGAGCTTACATGGAACCGGTTGCATACAGTGGGACCCCTCTAATCCAGACAGTACACTTACCACTGAAACGTCTTCCGTGCTAATGGGTGACTCATTAAGGGACCGACCTTTTGGTGGGTCGGGGTGGATTGGGGATGATTTTCTATCGAAATATTATTTCAGCTACAGCGTACAAAAACAGATTTTTAAAAAATAAAACTTTGTAGACTGAAAACCACCTTTCAACAATGTCATTCTTGTGGCAGGCAATTCTTTTTAAATTTCAAAATTAACAGCCTGAAGCTTATTTTTTAAAGAACCTTCGGTGACATTTCTTCTCTCCATAAAATCCCCAAAACCCACTTAAGAATTGAAATAGTCGGTCCCTAACGGGTGAGTGGTGTCCATTTGGACATAGATATTCCTCATAGGTATCGTCCGTGTGTGGAATTGACAGTTTATCAATATCCGGATGAAACAGGGTTCCAGTGTCTACAGTTCTAAGTCTATGTACTAGTATGAGCGTTGTGTCGGCTACGAAGGACGGTTTTGTGGGGAAATGAAAGCACATTATACGAATCGCTAGGCGGGTCTACATCAAAACTTATATATCTTGTATATATAATATATAAATGATAATCTCATCAGCACTGTGGCACTACATGTGAAAGATACATTCATACTAAAACCAATAAGTGATGCTTCATTTATAGCTTGCACCGGAACAGTTCGGAGACATCCTAAAATAAGCTACACCTTGGTCAGGTTATATTTATCATAACGTATATGTACGCATGTGTAATCACAGACTGGGTTCGGAGAGTACTACAGAAAATATGGACAGTGTACACATTCTTAAGCAACACGGTGAAAATGTGAATACATGTATTAACGTGACAGACGTGAAAAGATGCTGACGTACTCAAACGTCATTATGATTGTGATGAATATGTACAATACGTCATAAATGACGTTGCAGACTGAATATATGGAAATGGGGAATTATCGTCTTCAGAATGATAATAATAACTTAGATCATATTCTTCAGTCGTTCGTTTTAGAACCATCGTCAATAAAACATACGAGATAGAAAGGAATCTATCACCAAAATGCCCAGTTTCTACCTTCACTTCAATGTAACTTTAAACAAAACACGATATTCCCACCAAGACCACCATCCTTTATTAAAATCGTAACGTCTGCGATAACAAACGTCTCATCTCCGAACAGCACCATTTCCAATAAAACCCACACAAGTCCAAAGGACACTTAAAGCTCGATCAGGCCGTTGGATTATTCCTCTCAAGCCCAATGTATAATCATATTTCGCTATTAATATTATCAACATCCCAGCGAATTTTAAATCAAACATAATCGCACAGCCCGTATAATCACCATCTCAAACGCAAAATATAGACATACCCTTAAACCGTCTCTTCACAAAATATACTGTGTATTATTGTGTAACAGTTTTACACTATGAGAGTATTGCATCTATGGAGAGCAAGCTAGCTACTGAAATCGCAAACATCAGCACCAGAGTTATACGGGAGGGCAGTGGGGACAAATACACAAAAAATCTACAAGTACACATTTGCTGGGATTCTTTATAGTTTTTAAAATTGTAGAACGAAGTCCATCACCTGGATTACCATAAGCAATCCTCTTTGAAATTCAGTTGTTATTATTTGTTTACCTTTACAAAACATGCATCCGTTCTACAATTTTGGCACATAAAGATTACCGTATATTGGACAATGCAACACACACATACGATGAGTATTGCCCAGGTTACCACAGTCTACGGGAGACTAGAAAGAACATAATTGAGCAAAAACGAAATAGCGATATTCCTACAAACTGACTTGTACGGGCAGTTGTGAATTTACAAAGACAGCTAGAGACCTTCTAGTTTTCTATAATGCGCATATTACTAATATTTGGCCATATAAAAAAGTCAGTGTCACGAAATAACATTAATAGTATTTACCAATTATAATAACATCATTACTCCACAAACAAGCATCCACACTTGGAATATCACATAAGACCAGATTGAGTATTGCAATACGCATGCAGAAATAATGTTATAACGATAGATACTAAGCAAAGATGTATGAAGTAGATATGGTCAAGCTGGCACCATTGCTAAACGAAACACAACCTAATGTCTATCATTAATTACATACACGATTATACTGTAGCTGTGGCGATGACGGTACATGGCAAGAAAAGGCGGACATATTTGTAACTAAAATAATCGCCTTTGTCTCCTGATATTCCCCCTGTGTTTATTGTTCCTGGCAGGATGCGATTGAGCCATTTCAGATGATCTTGAATAACATGTTGGATGGAAATGAGAATAAATTAGCCTGACGACAAAGAGGTGTGTGCCTCATTGATTGGCCTTATTTCTCCGTTTGGTCGGTGTAGTCGCCATGACGTTTCGGCAACGTCTCCAAAGTTGCCAACGTCTTACAGTAGACACACAGATGGACACGGGACAACAGAACTCACAGAGAATGTTTTTTACATATTTGTCATCCTTGACTTGTTTACCATGTTTTTAAAAATTATTAAAATCATCTAGCGGTAAGCTTGGCAGCTTCACTTTCATCTTTTATTTTTTCAAAATTAAAAAAAAATCCTGAAGTTATATTTCATTATTCTTGTTTTTTTTAATGCCGCAGATGTACAAATATTTACTGCACAGTTAGAGAATTAGAAACAGTGTGCATCCAATAACATTATATAAACTCTATTCTCTCTACTCCGAGAGGTATTGTGGATGCACACAGACCATCTCAATACCCTAGAAATCCGAAATGATTACAACGAGTACAACAAACAAAAGAATATTTCGGAACATTATGTACAAAAATGAAATAAATAAATATGACCATTACTTACATTATCTTATCAAGAATCAAATCAACATGAGTATTTTCTTAGTCTGGCTCTTAAGAGCCAATAAAATATGCATCCATCTTTGAATAACACAAAGGATCCAACAAGTGAAGATCTTCTGGCCAAACATTATAATACTGTATATTTAATGACAAATCACAATATGGCCAAAATACTTCCTTGGTGACAGCAAATATAACGAAAGGCTAATTTGAGGTGCTATGATCTAAAGGCGACGTGTGAACTAACATACAATTACAACCGACAAGGCGCACAACTGCTCGCCACTAATGTGACTGATGATATAAGAAATATAAACATGAAAGTATGAGGATCACGTGACCGGATATAGATGGTGCTGCGCCTTGGAATCTGTTCGGTAACGTATATTGAATTTGCGCTCCTGAGCATTTGAGCCAGTCTTTAGCTATGGATTTAGGATAGCCTCGTCGACCACGCATCTTCAAGTCATAGAACTCATAGTAATTCTGGCCTTGGAAGAAATACGTCTTTTCTGCAAGAATAAAAATGGCCATGTGTGAGAAAAAGGTTTGTGTCTTTTCTTGTAACGTTGCGTTTACATGTCGGCGGCAAACATCTAAATGAATTCGTTTGATATGAATTGAGATGACACAATTGAAAGAATGAACACATTGAAAGCATTCACTTGAATTAATGATGAGGTGAGGTGAAAGTGGATTTAACGTCGCGTCCAAGATTATTGCACTTATATAGCGACGTGCATGCACGGTGTGTGTCGCTGCTTGTACTTGTCCTGACTGATGCCGATTTATAGTGCTAGTCCACTGAGATACCATGCCGCAGTTTAACATGAATACCCCACTCAGACACAGTATACTGACTCCGAGCCAACCAGTCCTTGTTTTAGCCCCTTAATGCCGACCGCCAGACAGGGTAACAACAAGTACCATCTTTTAACGTCTTTTGGTATGACGAGACCGGGGATCGAACCCCGGACCTTCCGCTCTCCGGGCGGACGCTCTACCACTTGACCACGGAGGCGGTCAATTGAATTTATGAGACTGATAAGCGGAGATAAATCGCTTCATAGCTCTAAAATGAGTATATACTGCACCCTGGTAGTCTCGAAGTTCCAAGGACAACATAATTTATTAGTTATACGTAGCCCGAGATAAAGGAAGTATGATTTCAGTTAAGACATGGCATCCTGCAGGGGCCGCCATCGACATGGTGAACTAAGAGGGAGGGGGTATTGTTTTACGCCGCTTTAAGCAATATTCCAGCAGCATCACGGTGTGTGTGTGTGTGTGTGTGTGTGCGTGTGCGTGTGTGCGTGTGTGTGTGTGTGTTGGGAGGGGGCGCGGGTAGAAAGGCTCCAATGTGAAAGGGATTATAGGTGACACTTACTGTCCCAGTACTGGAAGGCAGCGTCGATGGGGATGGGTATTCCGCGCCAGATGCTCATGTCGCGGGGGTAGTCGTACTCCACGTAGGTGTTGTTCTCGTCTAGTTTCCAGTACATGTCGCCGCTCACCAGGTATGTGCGTTTATTGAACCCCCACACAAACACCGTGTCTATCTTCTTCACATCAGGGGGAATACCCAGCTCCGTGATCGGGCGGCCTTCCTTCGGGTAGCCCGCCTCAAGATAGTTGGCGTTGAACACCCAGTGTTTGTCACCTGAAGGATAATAGAGAGGTGAATAGTGAAGCTAGTTTCGATAGTGTCTGAATACGCATTGTCCATACGGTATTGACAGAGTGAATATTGTTTTACGCTGCTTTCAGCATATTTCACCAATACCTTGGCGGGTGCACCAAGAATCATTTCCAGGTGGGGAATAGAATCCGGGCCTCTTGCGTGAGGAGCGAACGCATTCACCACTAGGCTACCCGACCGTCTCATAAAGCATTAAAGTCGCGTTTTGGTTACACAAATGTCAGTCTCGGTTGCCAGGCACCCATATATAGTATTAATATATATCCATATATAGATATTAAAAGATGAAGTGAGGTGAAACGTTGCGTTATACTTTTAAAGGCGACATACAGTTCTTCTTTTAGCCCCTTAATGCCGAGCACACGGCATAACAACAAGAACAATCTCTAGCGTCGTTTGGCTTGAAGTGGCAGGGGATGGAACCACCGACCAACCGCCCTCAGGTCAGACGCACTGTGCACTAGACCACGAAGGCGGTTACATCAACGGTAGAACGGCCACCAAGAAACAGGGCACAGACAAATACCAGTTTTGTGGACGGGTACGGTGCCTGGGTATTGTGGTGGTTGCAGATCAGCGGATGCTGGCAAAAATGCGCGCGGATCCTGGAAACGCAGACACGCAAGACGATACCGTAATTACCCTGGCTCCAAAACTTACCAAAACTCATGTTTTGTCTCCTTAATCCTGTGGTTATTAAAAAGAGTTTGCTTCATGGCTTACCTGAGAAGAAGACTATTTTTCCGTCGGTTGGTCTTTCGTACAATGCATCTATGTGATCTACTGACACTGGAAGCCCGTACCAGAACTTGTGTATGTGGACAGGGTCCCGTAGTATATGACGCGAATCCAAGCGCCAGAAAAACTGAAAATAAAGATATCCATTTATATGAATACATTAAAGATCATAGCCAAACGTTTCATGTCGTTGTGTGGTTGTTGTGAGAGTGGTGGATTTGGGTTAAAGTCCGTTTGAAAAAAATTGGCATTAAAGGGTGTGTCAAGTGTCACAGTTTCCGAATCTTGACGCGTCTGGGTGACGCAACTATATATTTATCTGTTATGCATTGTTTCAATGTAAATGCCCAGTGTGTGAAGAAAGCCCGAATTTATGCAGATCACGGTTACTCGATCCTGACAGGTCTAAGGGACGCAACTCTGTTGACATGTCATCCTTATGTATTAATTCATTACTGTTTCATTGTATATGCCCCATAGTATTTGAATCGTAAGTGTGACACGAATCATTGCTACATTGCTACCAATTGGGTTGGGGTCCCAACGCCTTTAGCGATATTCAATCTATATCACGGCGGGGGACACCAGAAATGGGCTCAACAATGGGCTCAACACACGACATCACGACAGGGAATCGAACCCTGGCCTTCGGCGTGACGAGCGACCGCTTTAACCACCGGCCCACCCAATCGCCCTACTACTTCATAATGAACAGACGGCCGTTTGAATCCTTCCATGTCCATGTCTTAACGTTACATCTTTAATTACATAGCCTATCTTCTCACCTTCCCGATGAAGAGGCAGACCTCCTGCCTAATGACAGTGATGGCGTCGAACGAGTGGACACATGGGTCAGCTGGCTTAGATGTGTCAATGTCCACCCTCGGTGTCTCTTCATCCGGTTCCTTGCTCTTGGTCACTGTGGCGTTTGTGACCACCTTCACTGTAGGCTTCTGTGGTAGTTCCATAATTTTGAACCCTGCAAGTTCAAATGAGTAAGTTGACAACCAACTGCCTTCACCTCACAACAACATCGTTCACATCAGCTGCTGGGCAAAAGAAAGTATATAACCGTGTTTGATGGTGGTTAAAAACTAAACAAACGAGAAATAGTTATTTGGGCATCATAGTTGTGTTTTTGGATTAAAGTTTGCAAGTCTTTCAACGACTGTTTTCGGCCTGGTAACGTTTTGATGAACCCAAAATCCCACTTACTATCTAAGAAACATTTTCCCGAGGCAAGAGAGTAAACTGACTTTAAAAGTCCAGTTTCCACCCTTGCCGAACTAGGCAGGAACTTCTGGGCTCGATCGTAGCGCAACCAGTGGTATTACGAGTTATGTCCCTTCTAAACCTCTCCTGTGGACCAATGAGATTCCATCTCTCGTATCATTTGAATTTGATTCAAACAAAATGGCGGCGCCCGATCTGATCGATAATCAAGATCTATATTGTGATCTAAATTGTGATAAAACGGGTCTTACATCGAAGTGCATCAAATCACATGAGCACCTTGAAAATATCTGTTGACAACGAGTTGGTGGTGCACATGCTTTGCAAATCCTGCAATCGACCGAAATGAGCACGACAGTTTACGAACAGGATTTCGAATTTGTTGTGCGATTTTGATTGGACTATGCATAGACTCGTTAGCCCAGTCAAAATGTAACTCCATAATACCAGCCAAGTTCGACAAGGGTGGAAACTGGTCTTTTATAGTCAGTTAACGCTCTTGCCTCAGGAAGATGTCTAAGAAATGGCTGCGGTGAATCTACAGACAGCACTGACCGTATAGTTTCTGGATGCCCCTGATGTCATCATGAGGTAGTGCAAACGTCTTCTGGAAACCCTGATACCATGGGTACATGAGTGCCCCGGGCTCTGTGCTGTGGGCCAATCCAAGGGCGTGACCGAACTCGTGGGCTGCTACCATGAAGAGATCCACACCTAAAAAACAAACAAAAAGAGGGTTTTTTAATTCAGTTCCATTGTTGTTGAAGGCAACATTCAGAAATACTTCAATCAGCCTGTATAAAATCGAGGACCAGTGACTTGAGCAACGTTCCACGCTGCTGTAGCGATGAAATGCAATCAACCAAGGCAAGCGAGCCTGATCACCCATAGGGTGTAACCCAGAAACCCATTCCGTTATAACAGGCCACTATGCTTGTCTAATAGGCGACTAACGGGATCGGGTGGTCAGGCTCGCTGACTTGTTTGACGCATGTCATCCCAATTGCGTAGACCGTTGCTCATGATAGCAATCACTGGATTGTCTGGTCCAGACTCGATTATTTACAGACAGCTGTCATATAGCTGGAATATTGCTGAGTGTGGCGTTTAACAACAAACTCACGGAAGAAGGAATTGCATAAAAAGCAGATTTTACGGATGCATCTCTCACTTACCATCAGAGGAGTTATACGTCCAATGTTCATCGTCGTCGAAGTGTGTGTCACCTCCCTTGCCGTCTCCAGGGAAAAATGCATGAGCCAGGATCATACCTAAAATACAAAATAATTTTCCGTAAAATAAACATCAACGTAAACTGTATTCTACCCAATCCCCAAAACCGAAATCGAGTTTTCTCCCTTTACACGTAAAGCCGCTTGACGATTTCAGCATGACTCGGAATGCACTTGCAAACGGATGCAAGCCTATCCTTAGTGACACATTTTCAAGTTCACACTTTACATATCATTAACTTGAAACAGTGCGCTGGCTCCCTGGGTAACTGATCGCCTCCGCGGTATAGTGGTAGACCACCCAGAGAGTGGAAGGCCTGGGTTCGATACCCGGCCGCGTCATACCAAAAGACGATAAAAGATGGTATTTGTTGTTACCCTGTCTGGGGCTCGGCATTAAGGGGCTAAAACAAGGACAAGGAGTCGTTATACTGTGTCTGAGTAGGGTATTCATGTTAAGCTGCCGCATGGTATCTCAGTGGGCAATCACAATAAAATCGGCACTACATGCAGCCAGATGCATGCACGTCGCTATATAAGTGCAATAATATTGGACGCGATGTTCATCCTAATTTCACCTAATCTCTCAATAAATTCGGAGATGTAATCTGCAATTACTCTGTGGACTTCCCACAGTCATAAACATTTTTGTCAATGTTGCCACACGATGCCATAAAATAGCCAGAAAATTGTATAATGGATAAATAAGATGGAGTTAAATACTGACTAAGTCTATAATGAACTCTGCTTAAATGGATTGCGTCGAGAGCGAGATGTTTTAAAATCCCTCATTTTCTATATCAGTAAGATTGTCTAACATGAATACGTTAATGTGCATGTTTGTCAGCACGGTTTCGGGGAGATATTTCAATAATATGAAACCTTTTCCATCAAATGGGTATCCGTCCTGGTGGTATCTGCTGGCAAACTGGATCATGATGTCAGCATCCCCGTGCATCACCTCGGTGAACGTGAGGAGAGTGGCCTCACTCCACACCTTGAAGGCGCTGTGGATGACTGTCTGAACCTGCTCCGGTCGCATGTCAGGCGTGTAGTTGATCATCCTGAAGAAGAAGATGAAGCGGTAAAGAAGTTGCATTCCGTTGTTTCGGTCACATGTATTGATGAGGAGGGAGATATATTGACATATTCCAGTATTAGAAAATGAATGCAGAGAGAGAGAGACACACACACACACACACACACACACACACACACACACACACAGAGAGAGAGAGAGAGAGAGAGAGAGAGGGAGAGAGAGAGAGAGAGATAGAATAATTAATTATATAATTGATAGATACAAGCGAGACACCAGAAGAAACAAAGGGTGTGTTATATAATGTAACTGCAGCATGTGAACGAAATTGGATTGTTTCCAGACAATTCACAAATTGCTTTCATACAATAACCGTTTATTGACATAGTAATGTTGTAACAAGTATGCGATACGTTTTAATATAACGTCTTTCGCCACCCACACACCTCCGTCAGTTGCATTGATTTGCATGAGAAATCACTTTATCTGACGTGCGTACGGATGCGTTTATACGTTGAGAATTGTTGAATCTGAAAGTCACCTGGGATGTCACGTTTCGTCTCAAATACTTCTCCTTTATTTATGAATAATGTCATATCTATACAAAGCGCCACCAAAGACCCGTTAAAACTCAGGAAATTGATCTACTGAAATATACACATCCTTCACATAGCAACCACACAAAGAGAAGAACAGTTGTACAATAACATGGCGAACATCAGGGGAACTCTACACGATTCCAGGGTATTATGCTCTAACACTACTAACCCAGCCCCATCGCCCAATAAACTCCCACGGATGCAATGCATTCAGCGAATTGTCTCAAAATAACCTCCATATATCCCATTCCATCAAATATACCAAGCCCACAGACTGAGCTAGGGTGAAACGTCCCAGCAAATATGAAGCTGGCAGAGCGTATGGCGAGGCCGCTCCCCCTCCGCGCTGGGGGCTCTGAATAACAGTCTCTGGTATCACAGGAGAGTTGGCATTGTAATGGAAAACACATGGGAGGTTCTGGGGTTGACTTGGTGATGCAATCCCCCTCAAGAGACAGGGAGCAGGGGATGATGGCGATGATCTGCCGCTGTACCCGTCTGTTTCCCAGATGCATGTTTCAATTGATTTTGTCTCGTAGGCAATACTGTGTGGGTGTGATGCTGAATTGGACAACGATTGAACATATCCCTCTCCCACCCTTATAAATAACCAGATGGAAACCGAATGTGATTTAAATGTCCGCAAATTATTTACGTTAGTATCTTTAGTCGCTTGTTGTTGCATTGGTCAATGTCAGGAAAATACATAAACTAAACGATATGACATCAATGTAATGAAAGATCATGAGGCAGTCCTGTCGTTTAGTAGGGCGAGTGGCAGCGGTGGAAATGGTATATGGACTTCATTGATTTCTCCCCAGCACAGGGTGGCCTACAGCACTAGTAATGCCCACTTGAGAGGGGTGGTGAGGTGGGACGGGGGGGGGGGGGGGGGGGGGGGGGGGAAGAGGGGGTTGTAGAGGGAGACACCAACCCTGGCACTGAGCAGACAGCCGTGTGCCTGTCAACATTCAACATATTTCTCGCCGCAGGTTCACAAGCGACGCATGTGGAAAGTTCAACAGCCTGGCCTTGCTGTATTTTTGTAAGGGTGGGTCGCCCCAGCATGCATATGGACAGGGAGGTGATTGTGCACTTAGCAATATATATACTTTGTTGCCAACTACGGTTGCAGTCATATGTGCATATGGGAGTTGGCTCCGGTTGGTGAATTTATCAAGCTATTGTGCATTTATGCTGAACAAGGGATTGTCGAAATGTGAAGCATCTTTCGGAAGATTCTATGTGTAAAATGACACTTGTGCCCCTTCGTGGCTTAGGGTGGGGACGGTGGGGTGTGGCAGGAAATCTAGGGGTATTAACTAGACGTATAAGCTACACAGTCATGGTTTTAGGCATGGACTGTGTCTCTCTAACAACAATCTATACTAACGTTTAAACTAAGTAGTGTTTTAGCTTACCGGTAATGGTTTGACAATATTTAAGCACGTTTAATTTCATGCCGAAAATACCTTCAAGTTATGTTTTGTTTGCCCATTTGAAATTTGACCCTGTGTATATAGATACTAAGGGCGGGAGAAGCAATAATCGATATACACTTATTTGTGCATGTAAAATTATTCATGTTCTGCCGTGCATGTTGTGATAAATATATCATCTACATCCCAAATTCCCCATAGATCGTGGGCCTTTCAGTTCTAAAGCACTGTTATTTTGAAAAGTTGACTTTATTCCCGAAGTTGAAACTTCTTTTATTCCTGGAATTTCTGAGAGAAAGCACCACACACCCGCAGGCTGTGTCACTGAACAGCCCAATGTCAGTGTAACCTAGACCAATACTTAGATTATGAAAACATTCCTTTCAAATAATTGTAATTTCTTTTTATAAAAAGCACCTTTCCTCTTCTGCCGTTTTCATATCAAGGAAACTAGACGTGGTTTAGTTTGATCTGGACTTGCCTTGGCATTTAGTAAATATATTTCGAAATTCCATTCATGCCGCGGGACTAAATCTAACCTAACTCAGCTAGATACTGGGCATATCAGAGAAGCATAGCAGTCTACTCCCTCTCGCGGCACCACAATCAGTCCGTTGTCAGTCTACATAAAGTCTGCAGACAATCTGCAGATACATCGTGAGATTAGCCACCATCTGTCTATTCAGGCAGCAGGCAGCCATGTTGGTTATGTTAAAGACATACGCACGTGTTTGAGGGACAGTAAGGACAATTAACACTGTCAAGCTCGACACTAATTCATGCCCAGTATCAAGGTCGGCATCCAAGTAGATATATTGTACTAAGTTCAGTGGGCAGATAAACGACGCCCCTGAACTTTAACCTCATACCAGATGGCGTGGCTCACATTTATTTCACTTCAGTCGATGTGGAATGTACAACTTGGGTGAAAACCATCTTACTTTGTGCAACACGTAGACAGTCATCAGCATAAGGGAAACACAATTTAATACTCTTTCGTAGTATGGATGGACCATTCTCCATATGGTTTTAGAAGAGACTTCTTATGATTATGGAAAGGGTTGTGTCGCTTTTATTCAAAACTTGGGTAAACAAGGCTAACGTCTGGTCTCTAATAAATCTTTACAGAAAAGGTTACTAAATTATCTTTCAAAATACAATGGAGCCCGGAGACCTTCTTCATTTTCAGAACTGCAGTAATACAGACTTGACAACTATCATAGACTTGCGTGGGTTATATTAGATTATTTTTTGTATTTGTGTGAGAGACTAGGGTTATGCGAACGGCTGACATTACACTCGCATATAGAACCCATCCTGTACATCAAATTGATGGTTCCCTTTTCGGACAAGATGTTTCAGATATACAAACCACAGAATATCATTGAATATCATTAACAGATAGCGGCAGCAATCCCCTAAACCTCCAGTTTTTGATGTTTGAACACATCTGGCCATTACATCTTCTATTCAGTATTTCCACTGTCTTCAGTACGGTATAGACACGGTGTGAGGCGACATGGTGGCGCTCTGACGCTGAAGCCCTGTCTCGTCTCGATGACCAACGGACATCTGGCAGTGCTATATGTAGAATCGAGCAACCCTCAGCAATTCGTCCGCTTTGATCAATCCAATACAATGTGACAGCGAAATTGCATCAGTCTGATTAAATAATGATACCCTGTTTGTTTTCCTGCTTTGTCGTCATATCGATTTCTCTTTTATACATGTGAAGTGCAACACATGGCACGCTACGTTCCGTGTGGTCGGTCCTCTGTTCAGCGTGACCTTGCCTGCATCTGGACCAACGGTGTTACATGGAGCTTACATGCACTTGGTTATTGACTTATCACAAAACGAAATACGCTTGAGGCGATCCCTTCAACAAGTTTAACAAACGCTGAGAATTAAAGGAGGTACACCATGTTACGAAACATCGGTGTCTGGTCATGTTACGACACATCGGTGTCTGGTCATGTAACGACACATCGGTGTCTGGTCATGTTACGATACATCATGTCTGGCTATGTTACGATACATCGGAATCCGACCACGTTACGATACATACGTTAATTGTGACACTGATGTCAATGTAGGTGGGTGTGTCAGACATATAACAATTACCATTGCATAAATCTAAATCAGATAAGGATTCCCTTTTCACATTCCACATTTCGGACGTCTTTCAACGATACGACCGCCGCCGTGGTCTAGTGGTAGAGCGTCCGCCCGGAGAGCGGAAGGTCCGGGGTTCGATCCCCGTCCGCGTCATACCAAAAGACGTTAAAAGATGGTACTTGTTGTTACCCTGTCTGGCGCTCGGCACCAGTCTGATTAAATAATGATACCCTGTTTGTTTTCCTGCTTTGTCGTCATATCGATTTCTCTTTTATACATGTGAAGTGCAACACATGGCACGCTACGTTCCGTGTGGTCGGTCCTCTGTTCAGCGTGACCTTGCCTGCATCTGGACCAACGGTGTTACATGGAGCTTACATACACTTGGTTATTGACTTATCACAAAACGAAATACGCTTGAGGCGATCCCTTCAACAAGTTTAACAAACGCTGAGAATTAAAGGAGGTACACCATGTTATGAAACATCGGTGTCTGGTCATGTTACGACACATCGGTGTCTGGTCATGTAACGACACATCGGTGTCTGGTCATGTTACGATACATCATGTCTGGCTATGTTACGATACATCGGAATCCGACCACGTTACGATACATACGTTAATTGTGACACTGATGTCAATGTAGGTGGGTGTGTCAGACATATAACAATTACCATTGCATAAATCTAAATCAGATAAGGATTCCCTTTTCACATTCCACATTTCGGACGTCTTTCAACGATACGACCGCCGCCGTGGTCTAGTGGTAGAGCGTCCGCCCGGAGAGCGGAAGGTCCGGGGTTCGATCCCCGTCCGCGTCATACCAAAAGACGTTAAAAGATGGTACTTGTTGTTACCCTGTCTGGCGC